TTTTTTTTTTTTTTTTTTTTTGGTGCATTTATTGCGCGCGCGCTAAGTTAATCCGAATACTCTGTTCGAATATCTTTCCAATTTCCACATTAATCTCTTGCACTTGTGTCGCGTTCCATGGATGGTATCATTATCATTTGTACGAATCATAATCCGTTGAAGAATGAAACGACGAAGAAGCTGTGCTACCATGTCGTCGACGCGAATCAACCGGGAAAGTAGATGATAAAGGAACGAAGCTAATGAAAATATTGTGACTGTAACTTATCACCGTCTCGGAGACATTTAAACAGCTTTTAATCTTAAGCGCGTGTTTTCCTTCAACAACGAGATTAAAAATTTCTCACTTCTTGCAAACGATGTCGAATCATCGAGATCCCATACAGATATTTTACCTGGCCGTCGAAAATTCGTGACTTCGTCGTACAAAACCACGTTGCGAAAATATACAGAATATTTTTAAGTTTTCAGTCCGAGAGGAGCATTCGAGCGATTCGAAATTGACGGAGTACAATTTCAAACTTCGTCGAAGTGTAATTTCCGTTTACGGCGGGACCACGATATAGCAGACGACCCTCGGGACATAATCCGGGTAGTCTGCTAGAAGTTTGAAAAACAGCGCGCGAAACGTCGCACGCACCGGGCCGCGTATACGACCGGCAAATAGAAATTAAAACGTGTTTTCGCTCACCATTTGACGAAGATGAGTGCTCTGCTTGTCCCAGCGGTACTCCTGAAGTTGCACGGTTTCGTATCGTTGTTTCTTCTTCAAGTGCGAACGGGAACGTCTAACGACCGATATCACCACAGCTGGGCCCATCCGGCCATCTTGCCGTCTACCAAAACGTGTACTACTCTGCGCTGGCGTATTTTGCCACTCGTCTCTCTCCTTCTCCCCCCCAGGGTAATTGCGCAACTATCCGCGACACTTTCAGTCGCGCTATCTTCGTCTAACTGTCGTAGCGCCCTCTTTCTCCATCCTTATCTTCGTCGCCAGCGGCGCTGGCTACGCTGGAGAAATTTTGAATGACGCGTCGTGCTTTAACGCCAAAGCGACGTATCGCGCCGAGCATAATCGTCTGCTAAGGTTCATACCCGATTTGGAAGCTCTAAGTGCTCCGTTCGACTTTTTTATCCCATAAATTCAAAGACTTCGTGAGTCTTCTTTTCCGTATAAACTGTTACATTTGAAATTATTTTAGGGTACATGCAACGTGATAAATTCGTGTTCGTTGACGGTGATTAGTTGCGAACTGATATTTCTTGTATGCTATTTATGATATTGAACATTTAGATAGTTGTTTGTGGCTTCGTCAAGTTTTTATTTGGTGAAAGTCGTGAAACGATCTCCCGTGTGGTTTAGTAACATTTGAATATTAGTACGAGAGAGTGCCGACTGTGGTGCAAGCGTGCAGGGTAACCTAGCTGCACCTGAAAAAAACCTCAGAGAAAATAGGCGGGAATTAATGAAACGGCAAAGTACGTAAGTATATTTATTATTATATTACGAATGCTTGCATATTTCTTTTCGTTACATCTAACAAAGTGAAACGCTTTATCTCTTTAGCTTATATTGATAAAGATATGAAATTGCAGTTTATTTATTGTTCAATACTTCATACAAATTTCATCGTCTATAAAATTCGAATAAATAATCATCGATATTAAGAAAATGATGTCAAAAAGTTGAATTAAATATAATAAGAAACGATGAAACTTTCTAGAGAATTAGAGAATTTAAAGATTGTATAAAACATTTTATTAACATCGCCGTCAAGAAGGCAATTCAATACTATGATATTTACATAAACATACTTAACACCTATATACATATATAATAAAATATTTACAATTTTTATATCAAGTTAAATAAATAAATTAGCTACTGCCAAACCAATCCGAACCCATCGCTCCGAAAAATGCCGCTGCTCCAGATTTGATCGTCGCTCCGGCTGAATCACTTTTCGTATTTTCCTTGTTAGTGGATTTTTTGCGCTATATTAACATATACAAAACACTGAATTAAAACTTCGTACCGTTTCACGTGGAAACCTAAAACTCATATATTATTACAATAACATCAGCCAAAAATTATAGTACATAAAATTAACGCATTTCAAGCATACGCTTGGTTAATCTGTTAATTAGTCAGTCTATTTAAGCAGAAGATGTAACATCTTTTTTTTTCCTTACCGCAATCAAATGCACGAGCTATCTTATCTGAATACTCTGGCAATCTAAGGGTACATATGCATTTAAATGAAACATTCGTAAATAGGCGATAGGAACCATTTTACAAACTACTATACTTGAATGGAATTTTGAAAATATGCTTGGAAAGTTTCCAAATTTAAGGAGCGGATGTCTACCTGTGTCTTTTCTGGTAAAGTTACAGTAACAAGAGGCAAATTTCTTGCTGGAGCTGTTACTGTTAAAGGTGGGAACCATGGCGCACCAGTACATAAAGCTAGAACTGAAGGCAAATCCGATTTCACGCTTTCAGTGTTACTGTATTCGTTTCGTGCTCCTAAAACCGAATGTAATTGCTCCAAATGAGGTACTAGGTTTCCTAATATGAGCTGCAACCAAGAAATATTTAGAACATAATTACAATACAAATACACTGATTAATAGAATACCAAAAAATTGGACAAATATTTACCAGAGATCTTTGAATGCTTTTCTTTACGTTAACATGAATGAAAGGGTTGAAAACATCGTAATCGAATGGATCGATTTTTGACAATATACTGTCAGAAGCTTTGGTTGATAGTTCTGATAAAATTTTATTTTCACGGGGTATCATAAAAAGACTAGAATACTTTATATCGAACAATACTTGGAAGGCTTGTTTCTGAGAAAGACTGGCATTACTTGACGCGGTTAGGTAATAATTTAGTAACTCCGTCACAACGTCTTCTATAATTTCATGTAGCACTTTTCTATGATAAGAAATTAAAATTAAAAATGTTCATAAAATTTAATTCACATAAATTTCAAAACTTACTTTGGAAGGGTATGGGGTATTACTTTATTCAAATCTTTATTAATAGCAGTTAAGAATTTCTGTAACTGTATGGACGGTTGATGCGGTACTAAAATTTCTGACTTCATTCTTCTTCCCTCTCCAGAATCCTCTTCGATAATCACTTTCTCCCATTCTGATATAATTAAATGTATTGGATAACCATCTAGTGATTCCTTCGATAAAAATTTTTCCTTGTGCTCACTTATCCTATCTTTGTACGTTTTGGCCCAGATCGACCAAATGAAAGTGCTTTCTTCTTTTAATTTATCACAAATTGACTGCCATTTAACGTTTGTTATAGTTAACCCTGACACTTTTGAAAGTGTGAAACATTTATTCAAATTCAAACTTAATGTTGTCAATGCTAGAAGAAACCTTGCTGTTATAACAGCATTTATATTACGTTGACCGTGTTCAGGCTTATCATTTATACATGTTGTCTTTGCAAAATTGATAAAATCTTCAATCATATCGGTACTAGTAATTCGTAAATGTTCTTGAATTTCAGAGCGATCAGAAAATGAATCTGAAATTAAATATATATTTGTGGATAATAGATTGTCCTTGATAGACATAACGCGCTCTGTTTCGTACAAGTATTGTTCAAGATCTTCTAGTAGAGCGTGCAAATTTGAGTCAAAATTTTCACAAAGCTTCAGAATATTTGGCGAATATCCTTTGGTTTTCATTAATAGAGATCTTTTATTATCTAAGCCACCATTCTTAGTAAGTTTTTGAGGAATGTCACTTGGAGAGTCTTTCCAAACGAACCATCGTAGATCGTGTTCTGGATATTCGAATTTATCGCAAAGTACTTTACCCAATAGTTCAATCATGTCAGACTTTAATGTAGTAGTAGTGTCCATCCATTTATCGTCTATGATACCTAATAAAATATTAACAGTGTTACTATGTCCAATTTAATAATAATAAATAAACATTTTATATTGTTTATATCTGTGTTATATACGTTTTACTCTATGTGATATTAAAGGTTGAAAGAATTCCACCCAGAAGGTTATTTTTGGAAGAGAGAGCTCCTCCCATATTGAATTCCAATTCTCAGGTAGATTAATGCTGACAGCTTCTTCACGGACATAGTATAAGCCTTTTATGGATATTATTAAATCAAAAAGTTTCGTAATTTCGCGATTGCAAAATTCAGCTACCCAATCAAGCCAGGTTTTAATGCTTTTTTGAAGATCGAGTATAGAGAAATTTTCAAAAGTATGTGTGGCAAACGGTTTGTGTTGTTTGGTCACAAGAGGAAGAAATTCCGTCAATAATTCTTGATTCAAATTTAATTGAGAGAGCAGAGAGTATGTTTCTTGGTCTTGAATTTTTGTTAAATATTGTGAAACAAGACCTTCTGACTTTTCATCTGAATCTACAATTAATTATTACTCAATGCTATATCGTAATGCAATATGTTCTGTATGTATGAAATGTATCACTTACTTATGAAACAAGAATAGATCAAACTAATCGTTTGAATCAATATTTCAATACACAATTTTATTTTCTTCTTAACACTATTATCATTTTCGTCTCTAACAATAGATTCAACTGCATGATTACGCATTGATATTAATTTATCTAACAAATCTGAGGATGAAGTTCCATTTAACAGTACAAGTGCTGTTAGACAGTTTGCTATGCTCTAAAATCAGAATGTTTTACTTTATAATTGCAATTTAATTTATAAGATTATTATAAAAAGGATATACCAACCCCTGATTGTACATTCAATGATTGCAACACATTGTTACATTCATTGAATATAATAGTTTTGAACTGACTAATAACATCCCATTGCTTAGATACAATTGGGTATTTAAGTACTAAGTCTGTGTTTCCCACTTCAAACAATAGACTATAATTTATATGTTGAGCTATTAAATACAATTGTGTAGCAAATAATAAGTCCTTGTTCTCAATACTAGACCAAATATATTGAGGTATATCCATTAAGATTTTTATTTGAATGATAATTGAATCTTGGCTTGCTTCAATATTCCTATGCAAAAATATAAATATTATTTAACAAGAATATTTTATATGTTATTTAAAAAGAAGAAAATTAGTACAAATACCTATCATCTTCATTCTCAATTGAATCTATTTTAAACCCAATAAGGTACTTTTTCTGTAATTCCCTGAATTTGTCTTCAATATTGATTATTCTTGATATAACTCTTTCAGATGTTATCTTCATTTTCCCAATTGTATCTGCAGCCAATATCAGATCACGATATCTTTCACTGAAAAAGATTTGTGTTTGTTAATGTACTCGAAGATCAAATTAATAACCCTATGGCAGCAACTGTTGTACTCATAGATCTCGTTGAATAACAATATACTGACTTTACTAAGCAAATCCGCGAATATCAATTCACATACAAAATAAAGAACCATAACAACCAATTACTTTAAGTCATTAAAACAGAACTTTACCCAACTAAAGTTCTAAGCTCAATCTTTTTCCTGTCGCTCTCATATTGAATCTTCTTTTGGATCCCTTCGATCTCTTTTATCGTGTACTCCTCGAACAATTTATTAATGTCCAAGTAATTCGTTGCTGTCATCTTCCTCACAATTCGTTCTCAAGTATTCTGATGTTTCCACGTAGCTACGAATTGTTTCGTATTTACATCACACTCTTACCTACAGCGTTCTGCAACGCGATTGCCAATCAAGTGTTAGATGTCAGCACGTGCATTTTCCTCCTGTTCTCGAACGATAACTTATTACGCACACCTTAAATCTTTTTTCTCCTTTTTTCTTTAATTCTGTATCGCGAATCAAGGCAACTTCCACGTATTATGCAAAATATCGCACGTGCGTTACGAACGCGTGTCATTGTATCAAAATCGTCGAGGGCAGACATTCTACCGCACCAATCTAAAATTTCTTTCGTAGTTAGATTTCCCACGACGTAACGTAAATCCTCATTTCAAAATTTTGACGAAACGTTTATCCTCGACGGAGATTTTAACAAATGTTCCGGGCGATTGGGAACGTGCTATGATGTGCGCGCGACCACGCAGTCGCCAGAACGCGTCACCTTACGACACGATGCCGAACCACGGGACGAACACGCGAAACGCCATATTGAGCGAATGTTGATTGAATGCAGTTCAGGTGTTTACGCGGTTCCGAGAAAAACCCGTGGAATACACATTAGTTGTCGCGTAGCCGGGTTCACATATCGGTGAGCGACAAGCACAACGCGGCAGCGATATCGTGTGGACGAGAATGAGTGGCAGCAAAGGCGAGAGCGATCAGTGCAACAGGATGAGAGAAAGCAACGTAGTAGCGATGATGGGTGACGTTCTCGTTGAGAAGGATACTCGCTGCAATGTACGCGTCCACGCTGAGGACGAATTTACGCAACAGGAGAACGAACAGACTATTAACTGCACGGAGGATGCTGTTGGGTCTCCCGTTGTCGCGGACTCTGTTCCTGCCGCGGTATGTTTCCCCACTAGTGAATACCGTTTTGTCTTCACTTTGCACCAACGATCGTTCACCGCAAACAAACGTTCTACTTACAGAGTGTGGCAATCAACGAAAGCGTGGTCGAACAGTTTATGAAGGGCGCCAGGGCTCCCAACAACGTGGAACCGAACGCGATGCAAACGAGGTCCGAGACGCTCGTTGAAAATCCAAGCACTGCTGCGAACGTGGACAACTCATTCAGGGGTGAGGAAATGTGCTCGTCGGATTTATGCAAAGCGAAAAGGTAATGTCGCGTTCGATGAATGGAGAGTACGATTGGTATGGTCGTACGATTTTAATAGTTGATTTCAACACAGGGAATTACTTAGAGAAGAGTTACAGAAAGCCATGAAGTTCCAAAATCTGTGGACAGAGTTACGCCAACATATAAGGGATTCCTTTAATGTTGCTCTAGAAGCTTCTCGCATTCCTGGAGGCTTGCAATTCCATCAGACACCATTTTCAGTGGACGACACGCACAAAATTGTACTGCAGTAAGTTTGAGAGTTGAGACAACAATGATCAATGGATATAGTTTTGGCACTTACAAGTGTGAACGTGGTATTTTCTTTTTCAGACTATATAAAAGGAATCCTCATCAGTTATTCATAAAGCTAGTAAGCCTGGCGCAGGAGTTTGTTGTAGAAGTAAAAGTTCGATTATTAGCTCTTCTACATGATCTTAGTGTAAATAATTTAGCAGAAATTTTTCTTATAGGTTAATATAAACATAATATACTTGAAACTAAATGATTTGTCACTGTCAGCTGGCGCAAATGTTAGTTTCATGTCGTGTCTTTTTGTAGGTCTTTTAGATGATTACGACGCATTGATAACAACAGCTGTAAAGATTTCTGAATTTGTGAAGCTCTTAAAAGATCATTTGGGCAAGTTCAACTACGAATTTCCTTTGCCATGGGCTGCTTTTATTAAAAAGTTATATCAGATTTATATATATGATGACCCATTCATACAAAACAATTTGCCTCCCTTCATTGGTCAGGTAAATAAACTTGCTAACATTTTAATTGCTTTACAATGTCCAATAGACACCAAAATACATATCTTAGGTTTTACAGTTACGGAAACTTTTGCCTTTGAAAGGCTCGGAATATCAACGGCTCGTTCATAGGTATTTGTGGTTTGATAAGGAAATGACAGTAATTAGAGATTTATGGGTGGAAACCGAGTCGTGGATGGACAAGTACAAGTAAGTTATGACATGAATTATATTTTAGCAATAATGTAACTATATATCAATTGATCACAATCCCAGGAAAGAAAATCTATGAACAAAGTTTCATAAGCGGTGCGTATTTCAGTGTAGAACAAGCATATCGAATGATCCACTTTAGGCAAGTAAGGGAAGTGTTCACAGCAACTAGAAAACTTGTGGAACCGCGCGTATTAAATAAATCATCTAACGTTGCAAAGTATGTCGACAATATATTGCTTTGTATATATTTATGAGTCAATGATTCGATTTTCTTTATCTCTTTTTTTTCCCCTCAGTGAATTACAAGAAGCGGATGGACAACTTTTGACACTTACATCACAAGAAAAAATTGGTGTATCAGAAGTGGATAGTAGGCCTTTAAGTCCCGCACCGGATTTAAGTTTAGATTCGCCCAATATGCTTCCTAGTATCGAAATTCTGCAAATTTTATTGGATGACTGGAGCAAGATTATGAAATCTTTGCGTCAGAAATTGTCTGATGTGGCAGGTACACAGCCCTCCACGGATATTTATGCTAATGGACAGGAAGATTTCTTTGACTATGCATGTGCAACTTGCCACTTAGTACAATCTGCAATTAGATCAGTCAGGTACTTATCACCGTATTCACAATGGCTGTAATCGTTTTAAGTTTTTGTTTTTAATCTGCGAATTCTTTTTGAAGGGCGCATATTGAAGGAACTTGTTTAGAGAATAATATAGACGAAGGGAAAAGCTGTGAATGTCATATGTGTATAGGACCTGCAATATCTTCTACTGTAAGAACACTTTTGTTTCTTTATTGTTGTTCTCTCTAGCATCAGAAATTAATTGAATTAACTTGCAGGTTAATAAAAGCGACGTAGAAAATATACTGTTACCGTTAGAAAATCCTTTTCCGCAACTAACAAATGGTTTATTAGGTAAAAATTGCTGAGATATAAAACTAGTGTAATTTATGCCAAACACATTATTTCATTTCATTTTATTGCAGAAGACACGGCTAATTTCTCGGCAACGCAGGTGAAGAAAAAGATTGAGAATCTAGAAATAAAGGAGATAAAAAGCGACGACAACGAAGTGAGAAATACAAATGAAGATGTGGATTTAAGGGCGTCTGATGCCCAGCCTTGTTCATGTGTATATCAGCATGTAAGAGAAATAACGGAAAGAAAGATGGTATTAGAAAATCCACCTTGTTTGTGTTTACTGAATTCCAAACGCAAGATATGGGACACCTGCCCCTGCCTAACAAAATGTAAATATAAAAAAGAAAATCTTATTTTTTCATATTATTAAAATTGTAATATAATGTTTGATAATGTTATTAGCTGTATTTGAACCCATTGTACCGAATGGCCATCCGAAGCCATCGTCGCCTCCTACCGTAAAGATTACTCAAGAACCAAATAAACCTGTAGTAAAAACTGGTTCTACTCAGTCTGCTCAAACACAAACGAGACATTCTACAACGCAGACACCGAACACCGCTCACAATCATACAACGGATCAGGGTAATTATATATGTTCAATCATTATAATTAATCGTTTCATACC